ATATATATATATATATATATATATATATATATATATATATATATATATATATATATATATATATATATATATATATATATATACGCTGGCCAATTTCATTTAGATTCTTTTTTCTTTCCAACACTTATCAGATATCCCACACGGTGATAATAGAAGATCTGCCTGGAATGGTGAAATGTTTTAAGAGCCAGGTCACAAATTTACTGTGGATGACCTTGCGATTAAGGAGTCCGATGAAGACCTAACTGGCGAAACGCGCCACACGAAAACTTTTTTCTTTACACTTTGTCATACATTTCCGCCCCCACGCTCCAATATCGTACTTGATATATAAAAAATGTATATATCTTTTATCTCATACGTCTTAAAGCAAATCTTGCTCCATCGACATCACTTATTGCATAGGCCTAAACTCATAGGATAAAAATCATGTAAGAAATCAGATTTACATAGGTTGTTATATAAATTAGTTCGATTTTATAATTTATTTCAATACTTATAATTTTTTTAATTTTTCTGATGAATCATTCAACAATGTCTTCCCGTTCATTGTTTACGATCTTTCAGTTCAATGCTCCGACAAGCCAAGCCACGTTTTATGCTCGATATTGTTGTTGAACAAAACACCCCTCAAAATGTTAGAAAGCGACCGAAAAAGGTGGTAGTCTGAAGGGGTTAGACCAGGAGAATATGTTGCGTGTGGCAGAAGTTCCCAATCTAGGTCTTTCTTTGTATCTACGGGTAGAATGGTGTTGAGCGAGTAAACTGGCAGCAATGAAGGAACGCTTGAGTTTCTTCCTCTCAGTCAATGCGAGTGATACTCATGCATCGTGTTTTTGGACCTTACCCATTGAGTGAAGATGAGCAACAGTAATGTGAAAACTTGCTATCTTCTGGGCAAATTCCCTGTTCGTCTGGTGCAGTTCTTCTTTGATCCCCAAATTGAACAGGTCGGACAGAATGCAGAGAATCTGTGGGTTCGAAACTTCTTCACCTTGAAACGGGGAAAACCATTTCTGTGCCATTCTGTCGGTAAAGAAGTCGACACCCTGCAGAACACAAATGTCTAGCAGCTTTGCCAGCTTTGTTGACCTTGATTAAAACCAAATGGAAGAAGATGTCGAACATGCCCATTCTTGTCTACTCGACATTTCATCTCAAAATGGTTGTCTAATCTGAAATAAAATTTCAATAATCTTAGACAACAGTTTCACAGGATGACCATAGTTACTAAGAAGCGAAAATTGCTACGAAAGATTATTCCTCGAGATAATTCTCAGAACATCAGAAAAAACGAACGATTATATGTAACAGCCTAATTGATAATCCATTTTGTGGCTAGGACCTCCCATTTGACATTATTCCCTGATGTCTGTGGTTAATAACGATGTGGCACAGGAACATTTGCTAAGTTCCCACGTTAATAAAAAGTTGTTCTGCAGTTTATAAATGTTTACGATTCAATTAAATAGTTGAGTGCGGAAGATAAGTACTTCACCAATATAGTGATATGGGCGATGATTAATCCAGTCGACTCGTGATTTGGCAAGCAAAAGCCACAAATAATCTTATCAAGGCTGAATAGAAACAGTATATTGTTTTGTGTGGCTTGATCACGAATAGACCATATTCCAAACCAGTGCAAGGTCACTGAATTTTCTTTTAAAACTAATATCCGACATACTTAATTCTGACTATATTATTACAATTGTTGCTTGCTGCTGAGTAATTCTTAAAGTTAACAACTACAGTATATCGTATTTTAATATTGCATTCTCTGAGGTATTAAATAATACGTCAGTGAAGTTTTCAGGTTTTTTTATAAATTGCAAAGTTAACTAAGGAGAGGCCCCACAAAAAGTATGTACACACTGTGAGATTTTATTTTGCAATTTAATGATTTCACAATAAAATAGATGTTAATTAATTGAAAATAGTTACTTTTTCAGTATATACTTATATTTATGCAATAAACATACTGTGTGAATTTCAGCTTATCTATTTTCATTACAGGTTTTCACAATAACATATTTGATGGTGTCAGATATTGTTTTACATTATATTGTAAATAAATATTTGTTCATTTTCGTTCATTTTATGGTAAATAAATATGTATTTATTTTAATTTGTACTATAAATAAATATGTATTCATTCTTATTTTATATTGTAAATAAATTTTCATTGATTCTTATTTCTTATTGTAAATAAATATATATTTATTATTATTTTGTATTATAAATAAATGTTTATTTATATTAAATATTGTAAATAAACGTATTTTCATTTTATATTGTAGTTAAATATCTATTTATTTTTATTTTATATTGCAAATAAAATGTATTTAATTTTATATATTATTGTAAATAAATACGTATATATTTTATTTTATATTTTGAATAAATATTTATTGATTTTCAATTTTTATTGTAAATAAATATGTATTTATTTATAATATGATAAATAACCCTGAGGTTGCATAAAAGAAATCTCACACTACCAATTAAATGATTATAAAAATCTCCAATAAATGCAATTTTGTTTTTAAATTTCAATTTCCAAGAACCAGAAGAAGTAACCTCAAAATAGAAACAAATTACTGTAAAATTATTATGAGAATAAAACTTTGGAAATTGTGAAAAGACTACAGAATAATAAACAAAAACTTGAAAAATTTAACAAAATACGAACAAAAAAGATGACTGAATGAATTGACCAACAAATAAACATTTGAAGTTGTATGTTTTGTGAATGTAAACAGTAAAAATAGATATAGAATATTAAGAATCTGATGAACAATGCTCGATTGAAATAAAGTCCTTCATATCCGGAATCCTTCATATCCGGAATCCTTCATATACGGAATCCTTCATATCCAGAGTGCCTCATATCTGGAATCCCTCATATCCGGAATCCCTCATATCCGGAATCCCTCATATCCGGAGTGCCTCATATCCGGAGTGCCTCATATCCGGAATCCTTCATATCCGGAATCCTTCATATCCGGAATCCCGCATATCCGGACATGATTTTGATGGTTATATTTTAACTATTTGGGTGATATGTAACTGATTTGAAATTTCTATTTTTCAGGAAATTTACTTTGGATAATGCTTATTTCACCCTAATGGCTTGTATTGGTGCAAAAGATGATGGGAATAAGAAGAAAGGATGACAACGAGACACATCTGCAACAAGATAGCTACGAGATGCATGACTGTGATGAAACCTGGACTGAAATTGAAAAAGCTATTGAAAAGGTTGTCAGTTTTATGGAAAGAAAGCCAGCATTCAGCTATGACAATTGCAATAACGCAGGCAGAGTTTTAAAAAAATGTATTTGGTTTTAAAAAATTTCAAGAACAAAAGCAAAATAAAATGCGGAAAAAGTTGAGAATGACATTAGAAGAGAAAGAATCATCATGCAACAGCGATTAAAAAATCCTCGTTACATTATTTGTTTTGCATACGTGCCATACTTAATTTAAGGAATTTTCATTAACATTATATAATTTATTTCTTTTTCTTTAAAATCAATTCCGTTATATTTCACTCGTCATGAGCTTATTTTGTTTACTATAAAACAATGAAAATAAATGTTAAACCTGATTTCAGTTATTTTATTTTAATCTAAATATAACCCCTCATATCCGGACTTTGCAACCAATTCCTCATATCCGGACTTTGCAACCAATTCCTTTTATCTGGAAGGCCTTCTTAGTCCGGTGGTCAGGGATTCTACTGTACATCTTTATTTAAAAAGAAATCTATCATCTTTAAGTAAATATCATAAAGGGAATATTTAAATTAGAAGAAAAACATGAAAACTGACCTTCCAGCATTCATTATTAGTTAAAAATCTGGAAAAACATTTGATGGTGCTGATGACTTCTTTTTTTTAATCAATTCATCCCAAGCAAGGCAATAATGCCACTAAGACACAAGGGGGTTACTGGGACTGAAAGGGAACGAGAAGACTTTAGAAGTAACCTGAAACCCAATCCTAAACAGAAAACAAGAGATAAATCTCTACTCTTGTTCAAAAGACCGAGGAAGAGTGTGTAGCGGATAATAGGTGAGACTATCTATTCCTGGGATAGAGTCTGTGTTCATAATAGAAATAGTCAACATAATTCATATTGTACTTTCCTTGGAGAAGTCAATTTTTGAGTTCTACAAGTCACATCGAGGAAACATTAATCTAATGAATTATGCGAGACACTGTTTCTTCATATTCTACAAAGTTAATTATTGCCCACATTGCCAAAAAGGTTTCAAAACACTAGATTAATAGATTGATTCCAAGATGCTCTTGATATTAAATGACATACATATGAAATTGAAAAATAAGTAAAGATCTCTGGGAAGCAATAAAAAATGGTAGGTCGTACTAGTTAGATATGTGCAAAGTTCTCCAGCGTTCTTTCTTGAAAATTAGTAGCTTAATATACAGTTGAAAACTATTTTGCTGGAAACCTTTGCACAAATTTAATAAGTATCTTATGGGTTTTAAATTTGAAGACTTGTTTCGAAGTTGGGGTAGCTGCGCATTTCTCTCCGATGTTAGAGGTCTGTATTCGAATCAGGTAAAGCCCAGGATTTTGAAGGGTCAACGAGAAAGAAAAGCCAGTGTCTCAAAGCACGAAATAAAAGAAAACGTTTTTAAAAGTAGAAAAGAAAAATAGGCAGTGGCATTTAGATGCGGAATAACATACAAGTAGGTATATTGATTGATTCGTTTTTTACGGTTTGTCAACACTTTTCAGGTTATTTAGAGTCAGGATGTATTTTTAGATTGTAAGGATTATTTTCTTTAGATAATAATGATTTTAGTGGTACAAGTCTTACTAATTAATCCATAGCTAGGGGACAAGGGGAAGATTCATACCTTTCCCAAGGATATTTGCGCGTAATTGAATATAAGGAACCACACTGAAAATGGTACTCGGCTCTCTAATTAACAATTCCGTGTCATTAATCATTACATCACACGCACATCCAAGCATCTGGTATTCCCAAGTGGTCACCCATCTGTGTACTGACCAGGCTCGAGATTGCTTAACTTCGGTGATCACACAGGAACCGGTATTTCAACGCTATACAGCCGTAAGCCCATAGAGGTATATGACAAGCTGTTGAAAACTTTCCGGTCCAACCAAGAAGACCTTCCAAAAAATATCTTATGTTTGGTCAGATTTTGGAAAGTAGATCGGACCGAAGCTTTCAGCATCCCCACATAGAAATGCAAAACATCACAAGAAAATGTTGTTGGCACCAGTATGTAAACATTCATCCTATGTACCGTACTCAGTTGCAGTCACATACCATTTAAACGCTCTATATAAACAGCACCGGCGCAAGCGGTTGCTTTTATATCCTTCCGCCGCGTGATGCTATGTTCGCTCCGGGCAAATAACGCCTTTTTAATGACGCCCGCCAAGTAATATAATTCTTTACTCTCACTCTGTAAATAAATTAACGGTAAAATAAAAAATAAAAATAAAACAATCATTAGATAATTTTCCGTTTAATGACTCGACAGAATGTTTTATGTTTGTTATTTTACTTCTTTGAATATTTGTTTAAAACAGCTTTGTTTTGAGGCATTTTTCTCACTAAAATACTCGCCATCTGTAAAAGGTGTGAGGGGTTACCCCACTTTATCTGCCAATGCGCCCGTTAGGTGGCGCTGTTTCATGACAATAAAAGAACGAACATTAGCCCTTCTCTGTCTCTTTCGCTCTCTTTTCATGTAAAGTAGTAATGATAACATCAGGACCCTTCCCTGTCGGGGAGACACTCCCGGCTAGCAGACTTTTTAGTCGCAGAGCAAACTTCATTTCAAACAAACTATGTGGACATTATGCACACGCAAATTTTCCAGCATCTAAGCCTCTAATGTTTTCCTTCCTATTCCGTTATCTGTATACACACAAATATATATACTCTTTTGCTGTATTGTTACTTTTTGTATGAAAATATACATGCGAAATCCCCCACGTTTTGAATTCGGTTCTTTTGTAACTTCTCAGCCTTGTATATTATAACCCTATTCCTCCATCAACGTCACAAAAGAGATCACATTGTTAAGAACCATTATATTCCCATATACTGGGGCATTAGGTTCTTTATAGATTTTGGGGATGAGGAATTATCAATATTTACATTCGTGGACACTGAGGTCAGCACCAAGCGGTGACTCTTTCATGCTTCGACCCAATCTTCAGGTCTTGTGTGTTGGGTTTTAGCTCGTCTTTTTATATATGCTCGTCAGTGGTGCATTATGGGTAGGAAGGTCTATTATTCTGACGGTTATTGGGTGGGGGTTAATTGTTATGTTTCAAATTACCCTAAAATATATATTTCAAATTAGTGTAAGATATTGAGGATTTTTACCCATAACCATAGCATAGCTTAAAATTATATTTTCACCATATATATATGTATGTGTCAGTGTGTGTGTGTGTGTGTGTGTGTACGTGTGTGTGTGTGTGTCATCATACCCCTGGGGATTTTGTCACAGTAACATTACCACAATTACACATGGAACCTTTAGTCGCGGGCAGCAATGATATTTAAGTACCGTTTTTCATATATTTTATGTTGACTCTACTTTAGTATATATTTATATACCTTATATTAAGCACTGTATCTGTAGTGTGTATAATTTTTGCTTTATATATAAGCATTTCACCCCAAGCAAGCGGGAGTGCCACTAGCGCGCAAGGGGTTACAGAGGGTAGAGAACAAGAGGAAAGAGGCGTGTTTGGGGAGAGCTTAAGGTGAAGGACGGGGTACAAGACCAAGGTATCAGAAGATGTCGATTGACATTACACTTGAATATTTGAGGATTATAGTTATCAGGGAAACAAGTAAGAGAAAGAGATTTCCACAGACGGGAAGTGCGAGAGAAGAAGCTGTTTTAGTAGAAGAGACGGTTACATTTAACCGTTTCGACAGTGAAAAGGTGGGACCGAAATGCCAACCTAGTAGCTCGCTTAAATTTATACACCCTAGAAACCAGAGAATTGCGCGCGCGCGCGTGTGTGTGTTTCAGTTAAAGTATAAAGTATAGTCCAATTAATAGAGTAAAATGTCTTAGTAGTTTTTTCCTTCACAGAATTTCAGATTTTGAATGTACTGCGGGTCGATTTTCGTAAATATATTAGATTGTGTAGTATATATATTATACCATAAAGAGGTAATCATACACAGAATTAATTAGTAATGTTAATATATATAGGTACCTCCACCGAAATGCGATGCCTAACGTTTAAAAGGAATTTTTAAAAATGAAAAATATTTCTTGAAGCTTTTATTTTAATTTTAATTTCAAGCTAATAGATAAAATTTAATATTTCCAATAAGTAAAATACATTTTCTATATTTTAAACTAATTTAAATTGACTGAAATAAGTTTTCGTTTTGAAACTTCTAAACTAGCTTATTTTAGCGTTATTTTTAGCCACCTATCATCACAATGTAATGCGCTTTTCGGAAACTTTATTTGAGGAAATGTAGTTGATTTAAAGTTTAATTAATTTAATTTGAAACCAATATTACTTTAAGTTTAAAATATCGCAGAAATTCATTTTTTCCACGGCATTAGCTCTTTATTTAAGGAGTTGCCAGCTTGATTTACAGAAGGAAGTTTACCTAATTTTGTTCTACGGTGGATGTATCTGTAAAAATTGCTTGAGAAATATAACGTGAGAGTCTTTTTATATAACTTTTAACTACACGACAATCTCAAAAATTTAGGGAAATATTCTCCGTAATCTAATGTTTTACTGAATTTTATGTACTTTGTCATTAAATTTATTATAGTTATCGCTCTTATTTTTAATGAAAACAATTCTTGTAAAAAGTCATTATTCAACGAAAATAAATACTTCTTAAGAAAATAGTGCCCATAATATTTCTTATTCACGAAAGGAATTAAACGCTTTACTAATTAAATAATATCTTAGTTTTATTACATTTATTATTTTAGGATTTCGAACCGATTTTCGGTAACGGGGGATCCTGTTTTACATAATGAAATTAATGATTTAAATTCTCCAAGGACTTCTGCTTTTAACTAATATAAACACTGAAAACATATTATTGGATTTCCAAATCCCTACAATTAAGACACTAAAATTTCCTATACTAAGCTTTGACCCCACCCTTCCAAAAAACAAGATTTTTAGCCAATATTTCGAACATTCAAAAAAGATTAAAAATATATTTTAATAATCAAAAATACAAAACAATCCTTTTGGTCATTCCTTTTAATAATAACAAATACTTTAAAATAATAAAATAATATATATATATATATATATATATATATATATATATATATATATATATTCTTTCTATCACTTGTATATGCTTGCTTGACCCAGCTTCTAATGCTCTGGAGGAAGCGGCTTGGGGAGAGAAGAGGTGGCTCTAGGGGCACAATCCATTGGGTTATGTATTCTTGGGTGGGTATCAACACCGGAATTTTGTAAGCAGCGGCGCTCTATCGAATCTAGTCAGTTTCTTCTCCGTCACCGAGGCCCGTTGGTCCAGTGCTGTAACGTTTGCGCTGTATCGTCCAGTGCTTTCTGCATTCTATTGAGGATTCTTCGAGACGATGAATGACTATATATATATATATATATATATATATATATATATATATATATATATGATGGACTCTCGCATCGAGTTTAACGTATGAGATTCCGACGACCACGAACTCATTATCTGCATGCCGATGACGAGCATGATTTTTGAGACCGGCCCGAGAATTGCCCAAAAGACCACAAACAGTACAGGAGAATGTATTATATCAAAGTGCATGAGGAACACTGTTAGCTGTCTTATTTTACTTTCGTGTTTCACGTAGTCGACTGATGCTTACTTCTTGGTGGTGCTTTATACCTGAATGGCAGCGAGAACGATGATCTGATCTCTTCATAGCAACCTCTTCATAGTTCTTGAATGGAATGTTGGCGCAAGAAAAGTTGCTTTTCAGTTTATCTTTATATTTGAACCAACGTCTACCAACATTTCTATGACCACTATGGAGTTCACTGTAAAAAAAGAACTTTTGGTATGCTATCATCACTTATCCTTGCCACATGGCCAGCCCAACGTAGTTGCGATTGCATTATGAAGGTCTCGATGGCACCAATCTTGCATTTCTCAAAAAGATCGGCATTTGACATTCTATCATCAAACGTTAGGCCACAGATTGTACGGAGACTACCCTTATGGAAGACATCTAATCGCTTAATGTGTCATCTATAAGGTGTCCGAATTTCAGAGGCATACAAAATTATACATATATATATATATATATATATATATATATATATATATTGTATATGAAACCTTATTAAAGGCTTAGAATACGCCGACATCGTCCTCGTGGGTACTTGTAGATTTGGCTTTAAACCTAAGAAGTGTCTACCTTTTCGGATCTAGTGTAAAACCAGAGGTACGTCTACCTTTTTGACTGGAGGGGAAAACTGGACCTATGTCCAAGCATTCATTGTGATTTCTTTACTTCTAAAATCGATCTTAAAACTTCAACAACATTTTCTATGTCATTAGCCAACCTAACCTTACATGAATAAAGGTGTATGTTTATACATTCATGTTGTTTGAATAAAAAAAATAATATAAGTTACTTGAAAGAATAACATTTGATACATCATCAACGTAAAGTGGAACAAATATGAAGATTGCAATAAGAATGCTAGTGACTTGACTAAAGAACGTATATATTTCACTAAAGTCAAATGTCGTTGTTTTATTACCAACTCAACCTCGGCAAACCTGACTGAACTTGGATTGTCGCCGACAGAAAAGAAAAAATATATTAACAGGCGATAAAATCGGACAAATGGCGTCTCTAAATTAATTTAGCACTGTCACACAGGGACGGAAAGCACACAGAATTTAGTGAAATCGTGAGGAATTAATGGAGCGGTCTGATGAAGGTTTTTACCGAAGACGATGTCACTGATTTTGCTGCAGTATTTTTATAAATTTATATAAGAATAAAGATTGAAGCTTGGGCTGTTGCTTTGGATATCTTGAAAGTGTTCGACTTGTCTTTGT